GCTTCGATTTGATTGGACAATAAAACTTGAGCACGTACCCGTTCTTGTCGCTCGGCTTGAGTGGCCGATCGGGATAGAGCTGGACGTTTCCGATTTCAGGAGGACGAGCCATGGGAGGATGGGAAAGCGTGAGCTATTGTGGCACAGTTCCCTTGATCTCGGAATTCTTTTGCAGGTACTCGATCAGGTCGCGGCCGGTCACCCACCGCGCGTGGCCGATGCGGGCGTAGGGCAGTCCCTCGTCGAGCATCTGATCCCAGAACTTTTGTGAGATACCCAGTCGCTCGAGCACCATGGATTTGCTGTAGGCTTCGTCAACGTGAATCATGCCGATGGACTTGGTCTTCATGATGGAGTTGCTCCTGTGTGCGGGTTGTGCGTAATGCGGTTTGCAGGATCGCCAGCAGCCTCGGGGTGAGGCTGCCGGAAGTGTCCTGGCCATCAGGTGAGAGATACGTCGGCCTCTTCTTGTGACACGTAGTCCATCGCGAGTCGTAAGACCTCGATGGCGGTAGGAAGCTCGGCGAGTCCGAATGAACTCGACGACTTCCACTCGTCATCACCATCGCGATAACGGCGCTGGAGTTTGACGCTGCGGATCGTCCGCGCGCTATCCCCTTCCCCGGTCTCGTTGGCAAACACGCTTGCTGAGACGGCGCCCATGCGAAAGACTTTCTCCGGCTTGTTCGAATTGCTCTTGGTGGACATGGATGACTCCTGTGCAACAGAAACTTGGTAAGGAACTGGACGTAACGAGTAGGAACCATGGGTCCCTGGACACCTGATGTTTGACCAGGCGGGGGTACTGTGGCAGTTCCCAGTACACCGCGCAAGCCAATCGGCAGGGTTAATGAGTGTCCGAGGGCGAAGAGAGGGCTCACCTCGGAACGCAAAGACTTATTGTCGATCACCACGGGTTACCCGCTGCCACCTCGCATGCGAGGTGGTCCGCGACGTTCCGCTTGGTTCACTCCCCCCTTGAAAAGCGGTGGGGCTGCTAGGGATCAGCCCCACTCCTCTGCCTTCAAAACAGTAAGACGACGACCACCAGTGTCGACAGCAGGATCAGCAGGCCGTCGGCGACGACCAGGCCCACCCGGCGCGACTTCATCACCAGCGCCGATGGTTGACGCCGGATAATGATCGTCGGTTCCAGGACTACGAACCGGGCTACCGCGCGGGCCGCCCGAACGCAGTTCCTCACGATCAGCAAGCATCCGCGTGCCGTCTTTCGAGACGACCGCACGACCTGCTGAAGGATCTTCGCGAAAATCTCTTGTCTCCTTTCGTTCGTCATGGCAAAGTTGGGAAGGAAGTAGCGTTTATCACCAGCGAGCCTGCCGTGCATGTCCCTAGAACATGCTGACGGCAGGCTCGATATGGTGCTCGATTAATCAGCGGACTTCTCCGCAGCGGGACTCTTCTTCGCCGAGGCATCGAACTGTTTATGGTGGACGCGCGTGGCCTGCTGAAAGCAGCGGAAGCACAGTTCCGATTTCTGCAGAAAACCACCCTCAAACTGCACCGTGATCGCCTCGGTCGTCTTCTCACACCACAGGCAACGAGCCGATTCCACGTAGTCCGTAACAAGGGCTTTCATCAGCTTCCTCCTTTTCGAGGGGTATTGAATCGCTGGGCCGTCATCGACGGCGGGTCATTCGGATGCTGGGTATTCGCCACCCAAGGCGGAACGAGCCGTTCGGTGGCGACGGCGAGTGTTCCACATCGCCGACACCGACGTTGCTGCTGCACATCAAACCATTTGGCGGTGCACTGCGGGTAGACGTGATACCAACGCTCAGCAGATTTACTGCACATGAGGGACCTCGCTCGTAGGGGTTTTAAAAAAAACGAGCGAGTGAGAGCCGGAGAAAATGGGCTCACTCGAAGAGAGCATGCGTACCACTCGTGCTGCCGTGGGCAGCGTCGATTGACGCCGCTGACGGCCGTCGCCGAGTGTCCTTCCTATGGCGGAAGGATTGCGGGGCCGTCTGGGGCGGCCCCGCAATTGACTATTCCATCTCGGCCGAGGCATCATCCGCCTCGGCCCACTGTTCACCCTCCAGCTCGAGGATTCGCTGCCATGCTTGCGTCAGCAGCAGAGACGCGACCGGCAAATCATCGCGGCCAAGCGCTGTGACGGATTTGAACTCGCCATCCTTCCTGTACGTCCGTTTCAGGGAAACTTTGTACAGCGGTAGCGAGCGTCCGCGGACCGTGTTGGCGTAGATGCTGGCCGATACGCCACGCAACCGCGACACCTCGACAGGCTTCACGTTTTTGGAGTTTTTAGATTCTTCCATGATCAAAGTGGGAACAGAAACAAATATGTGCCGGATGCGCGGCTGCGCATCACCGGCGAAATCCACACCCGGGCAGCTTGCATTACGGTTCCCCAGAACACCGCAAGCAGACCGCACCGGTTGGTTGTGTGGTACAGAGGACAGACAGAAAATATCATCGCTGATGTTCATAACTCTCACGGGTGGCAAGGCTGGCCGGAGGGGTGACCGGCAGGTGGCCACCGGCGGCCACCCTAGTCAATTTGAACCCGTCGCCGCAAAGGCTTTCCCCGCCCCAGCTTGTGGGGTGCAAGGGGCTCTCGTCCCACGCTTCTCGACCCCTTGCCTTCCAGCCTTTCCGGTCCTCTCCGCTCGTAGACTCGCGGGGTCCGGACGCGACGCTAAGCCTGGAAGGCAAGGGCTGCGCCCCTGCACCCCGCGAACCTTCGCGGCCACGCCATTTCGGTTCGCACTCGTCCTTGCGGCCGAGGCAAGCTGCCCCCCCACCGATTGCAATTCGGTACGGGCATTCGTGAATGTGGCAAGTAGCGGAGCATGGTCTTGATGCTCAACTTGAAGTTTCAGACTTCACCAGCGGCATGGGATCGCCCACCGCCGGATACATAATCGCCTCGTGCAGAAACCGTTCCGGCGTGACATCCGGCGCGGCAGTGAATTTCCACAGCTCTGCACCGGCCATCCGAGAAAACGCACTCCGCAGAGCATCGCGACGACGCGCGTTAGGGGCCACGCAAAGTACCGTGAACGAATCGACATTGGTTTCCGGGAAGTGATCGCGATGCAGCCCACGGGCATGCATCTCCGCATACCCTTTGATTTTCCGCGACGCCACTTGCCTCGCACCGGTCGTCCCACGATCCTGCTCGAGGTAGAAGACCTTCGAGAATCCGCGCGTGGAGAGCAGGAACGCGGCATCGGGTGCACAGATCAGCCGCGGGTTTTCATTGAGAAGTTTGTAGAGCCGAAACCGCCGCTGCGGATCCGACTCGTCTTTGTTGACCACGTCCCATTCGTTGATCCAGCCATCCACCGCAACTTCCCGCTGGAGACCGATGGCGGCGTTCAAAGCAATGTGCGTATCACTGATCGCCAGCCAGTGCAGTACATGATGGGGCTGAGGGCATTGGTCGGGTGTGAGCAGGTGCTGCTCATCACCGGTGTGCTCAGCTAGCAACTGACTCCCCTTCTTGGCAGGGTAGTAAATCGAGCCCGCCGGAGCGGAGCCCGGGTAATGCACCTGAGCGCGATGGCGATTCAGCAGCCGCTGGTCCACGAGCGTCTGGAGACGACGACGCGTCACGCGGCCCGTTTGATCACTGGCAAAACAGAGCCGCTGAATCTGTGGTCGGTTGAGGACGTAGTACTGGGCTACGGCCAGCAGCACCTGAAGATCGCGATCCGTAATCATGCTCTCCCTCACAGAACCGCTAGAAGTGCGGGTAATAAATAAAGCGAGCCGAGGCTCTGCGAAAAGGTGCAGAAACTCGGCTTTGAGAGAGAATCCCGCAGGGGCGGGATGATCGTACAACCGGGCTGTTTTCCTGCTCTGCCCTGAGGACAAAGTCCAGAAAACGGTCTCCGGAGGCAAGCTGACGAATCAGCCTGATAGATTCTTTATAACGTTCGCTTGCCCGAGGTCAAGCATTCTGGCAACCTATTCGTGATGGCCCCGGAAGCCACGCCGTTCACAGGCTCACCCGACAGAGGGATCGATGGGAGAAAGGCCCGGCGACTGCTTGCGCGCATGGATCGCATGGAGGAGTTCGCACAGAAGTACGAGCAAATCGACACCCTCTATCCGGACCTTTCGAAATGGGAACTCGAATGTCAGCGGCAAAATTTCGCCGCGACGTACAGGCGTCTTGTCGGCGTAGTCCCAGAAGAGCGAGACAAGTTGCGGCAGTCACTCACGGACATCAATTCGACGCCTTGAATCAAGCGGCTTTCTGACGCCAGTCTGCCACCTGCAAGCCCGTGATCCACGAATAGTGCGCGGTGTTCCCCGTGACCAGCACGCGCTTTGCGTCCAAGGCCGTGGCCGCGACGATGAGGTCTGCGTCGTTGTGAGGATGGCCGCCATTGCGACCCTCAGCCCACAAATCGGCGGCCCGCATGAGGACGGGTAAGCTGATGGGAAACACGTCGCTGGTACCAACCGTCGTGAGGAACTGCCCCAGTTGGCGATCTGCTTGCGTGGCCCGCAGACCTCGAATGATCTCGTAGACCGTCATCGAGGAGAACGCCAGTCGCTGATGCTCGCCCAGATACTGCTGGGCATGGGCTAAGACCTGGCTGTCTTTCCGCTTCAACACCTCGGACAGGATGTCGGTGTCAAGAATAGCCTCTTCCATGCACTACGGAAGATCGCGGGAAAGCTCCGCACGTGTTTTGGCTAGCTTATCGGCGGATTCGATTTCACCCTCATTCAAGCCATCGTAAACTTGGGTCCAATCGTCCAGCGTTTGAGCGGGTCGCTGTGATGACGCGGTTGGAACAGCCACTTCAATCACACTGATGATCAGCTGCTGATTGGTCGCAAGCTCATGGCCGATTACCTCTTCCAAGGCACGGCGGTGAGGAGCATCCAATGCAGCCACATCGATTTTCTTGAGATCGTTTTCCATATCACCAGTTTACCACACGTGCGAACTGAAACTCAATCAAACTCGCAACGTGGAACTGTCATAACGATCAAGCCTACGCGAATGGATCGCAGGGCTTCTCACTCGTAGGAGTACTCGGCACTACGATCGTCGGCCGCATGAAACGTTCGAGCCGCTGTTCGGCATCCGCATCAATCAGCGCTGCTGACGAAAACAAATCGGACTCGAAGTTTCTTGCCAACAACTCCTGCATCCGCTCCAACAGTTCTGGAAAGTGCCGTGTGATCCCTGCTAGGTCGTGGCGTAGATACCCGGGTGCGGAACGTTTCACGGCCACGTGATAGATGGACGGATCATCAACGAGCCGCAGCAGAGCTTCACCCGTCGCCAGATGTCGCACGTCCCGCGCCCAGATGGACTTCTGCTCATCGAAAGAAACATAGGTGCGATTGGCCAATTCGCGAAACTCCTCGTAGTTGGGGATCAGGGTCTCGTGACCGCCCTGAGTGCTGCTGTGGGTCGTACTGCGGCCATGGCCGTCGGTTTCCGAACCGCCCCTGCTATCGGTATGCGTTCGCGTGGTCAACGGATTAATAGGGTGCTGGGTTCGCCCGTCGGCCGACCCCCAATTGTTCCCGTACTGCCGATTCCATTGCTCGGCCGCGCCTGCACTATCCGACCAACTCGTTAAGTGTACGATTTCGTGGCCACGCACAAGTTGCTTCCGCGAGTGGATTTCATGCTTGATACGATCCGGATCGAACGTCAGCGCCGCCAGTTCGTGCGACAGGATGTCCGCATCTTCGCCTTGTACGCCGAACATCATCCGCGACTGTGCTTGGAAGATCATCGACGTGAGATCGTGATCGCCCCGTTCCAATTGAGAAAAGGATTGATGCGAGAGCAGAAGCTTGAGTCCCAGCTGGCGGACTTCCGGCAGCGCCGATTCGATGTCGGGGCCGACAAAGTTCTGGAACTCATCCAGAAACACGTAGGTTGGAAATCGCTTGGCCTGGCCCGCGAGACCACGGGCGGTGGCAATCACCTCATTGAGAACCAGCGAACCTATCGTGTTCCCCAGCGGTCCCGAAAGTCGATCGCGGGGAGCCAGATCGATCAGCACAATACTCCCCTCTCGCATGAATCGCTCGACGTCCAAATGATTCTGCGTGGCACCGAACATCCGCCGCAGAATGTCGCTCTCGAAGTACGGCTTGAGCCGGTTACGCGATGAATCGAGAATCCGCTGCGCCTCACCACCACGTGCCTTATAGATATCGTCCCATTCGGCTTTCAGCTGCGGCGGGAGCATCTTGAGTAACGGCTCGTGGTAGCGACTGCCTGGTAACAAAAAATGCACGCAGTCGGCAATCGTGAGGCCCATCTGAGCCGCCGCCCAGAAGCAATTGAACACCCACCGGGCCAAGCGTGGCATCGCTTCGATGTTCACGCTCTCCCAAGCTCGCAGGATGATTTCGGTCGCCCGCTCCACTTTATAGAAGCCGTGAGCCCGGGTGTCGTACAGCAACGGATTAAACGGCAGTACGACGTCTTCGCGTGAAGGCTGAATGTAGACAAGTCGGTCACGCACGTAATCCGTGCAAAAATCCGGCGACGCCATCCAGAGCAGCATCTCTTGTGATAGATTGCCAAGCCGATCGATGATGATGAACGCACTACGATCCGTCGGATCACGCAGCAAGGGGCGGAGGACCGTGTGCAGGGCGGTGGTCTTCCCTTTCCCGGTCCCGCCAATCAAATGAAAGTGCGTATCGAACGCCTTTCTCGGGATGCGAATCGGCAATCCGGTCGTTTTGTCGTTTCCCAGCAAAACCGATTTCATGGTGCGAGATTCTCCATGACTTTCTGTGTCAGATCGGCATAGCGCTCGTTGAGTTGGACCAGGTAGTCAGCCTTAAAACTGTCGTCAATCGGCAGTGCCTGAACCTCCTGCTTTTGCTTGGCGTACCAGGTCGCGAGTTCTTCCAGGCCATGAAACTTTTCAGGTGGATTGACGCGCTCATGATGATCGCGGATCAATTGTTGGAGTTGTTTGCCGCGAGATTCGATTGTCTCAGGGGTTTCACTGCTTCCCATATACTTTGAAGCAAAGTCATCGAATTGCTGACGAGTAAAGCGGTCTTGAATCTCAGGTGCGTAGAGGAGAAAGAAGGATTCGCAGGCGAACAGCACATCCTTGCGGCGTTGGGCAGCTAACTTCTGTTGTTTCTGCTCTTCTTGCCAGCGCGCATCTTCGAGTTCTTGCCGTCGTCTGCGTTCTGGAGCCGTGCGTTCCCACTCAGCCTGCTCACGGCGGCGGCGTTTTTCCTCTTGCTTCTCTCGTTTTCGAGATCGCCGTTGAGCCGCCCGTATCTCGGCACGGTCCGATGCCTCACGGGCTCGATCACGCAAGAAGCTGACCGCACCTAAGAGATTCCATGAGATACCGAGCACCAGTCCTGCCGCCAGCACACCTCGCAACACAAACACGAACAGCTCAGCAGCGTCTGGGCGACCAACCGTCACCACCCCATAAGCACAAAACCCAATGAACGCCAGGACCGCCAGGCGTTGGCCCCAGACATTGGCCCAGGCATCTCTGGCGACTACGAGATTGCCAATGTAGATCAATACGAAAACGATGCCGATGAGCGAGCAAGCATCGCCACGTTCAATGAGCTCGATCAGGAAATCCATCCCACCACTATAGCGAATCCGCCAAACGACCGTGAGCGAGAAATAAAGGTCATGACAACGGACAGAGTGACGAAACGGCCGCGGACGAACTACTAATTCTGGCGCACCTTAGGAGTGGAGTCTGCCGATATTGGGAATGCTTGGTACCAGATTTGAATGCATACTCTCGCAGATAGATCGAGGTAGTTTCTACGTTGGATTGATTGGGCCAGCGGCATCTTCTCCGGGGGCAAACACCGTTTGACACCATCGATCCACGTGTTGATATGCGATTATGCGGTGGCCACCCGTTGCAGTGTCCTCCGGTGCCCAGTCCCGCATGATCCAACCGAAGTAACATCCTGTGATTCGATGATAGAAGGCCAGTAGTGGATCTTCGAGGAATTCCTGTTGAGAGGGGAATGTATCGTTTTCAAGATAATTGTCGATCGACTGTTGGAACGCAGGATGATGGGACACCCGTTCTTGCCCCCAGCGCGGATCGCATCCTGCGTACGACGGAGCTCGCAGATTGCCTACAACGTATTCGCAATTGGCGTCCCGGATGCGAGGGGCAGCATGCATCGCGAGCAATTTGTAAAAGTACTTTCCACGAAAACGAGGCTCTACTTCAAGGTTGTATGTGTAGGCGGCATTCGGCAGATCTATGGTGTCCTGCGCGCAAAACTCTTTCAAGGAAGACGGAAAACTGCCCACATCTGTCGGATCAAATCGACCGAGCGAGTACGAAAGCATTCCGATTAACTGACCTTCCTGCTCGACTCCGACCATCTGGTGACCAAGGGCGAATCGGTGCTCCAAAGTAGCTCTCGTAACCTGTAAGGGTGGGATAAACGAACGACGTTCCAGATCGACAATCCGATCGATGTCCGCCGGTTGGAGCACGACAGCCGTGGCCTCACTTGATCGCATCATCCGTTCGCCTCAACCAGATTCGACAGGGGCTTCCAGGACATAGGGTTTCTCTAGGAATTCTCAGCCGTGTTCCCTTCCCGGTCAACACGCCCGCAAGTATCGTCGTGGCTTGCATTGATTCTCGAGTATGGAAGCTCAGCTTGTCGCGTCGTGGTCATGAGGCACTTCACAGCGAAAGTCTTCGTACTTTCCCGTCTGACCTCGGGGGATTTCGTCCACATAGCGGATATTCGTTTGCACGGCATGATCGACGGCTTTGTCCACCCATTGCCGCATCATTGCTTCTTCGGTTCCGGAAAGTTTTCGCGGAACCCGAAGAAGTAGCTCGAATTCACCGATCTTTCGTTGAATGAGCTGAAACTGTTGAACGGGTGGCATTTCACGCACTGCTTCCGGCGTGAGAATTAGGGCGGGCCAGATACGATGCCCGTTTGGTAAAACAGCCATTTGGCGTACTCGCCCAACGATCCGTGTGAGCACGGGCAGTCCCCGGCCACAGGAACAGGTGTCGCCCACTTCGGCAAGATCTCCGATGTCATAGCGAATGAGCGGACTGGCGAAATTGTTAAGAGATGTGATTACGATGCGACCAATCTCGCCGGACTGACACGGCTCCCCATCTTCTCGCAGTACCTCCAAGAGAACTCCCTCGGACATCACATGGTAATGTTCATGTTCAGGACACTGGAGGGCCAGATATCCAAATTCCTCACTACTATAGCAATCGACGATCGGAACGCCCCAAGCCTGGCGACAGAAGTTACGCAAACTAGGTTCAAGGATTTCACCAAATGTGCGGACCTCGATCAGGTCTGGGTATTTGATTCTTTGCCCCGTCGAGTGCTCGATCAAGGCGCGGAGGTTGGACGGATAGGTAATCAAGTATGCGGGTCGTTCGCTCGCCAGCCAGCGGGCTTGTTTATCGACATCGGTATGAATATCTAGAGCGACGGTGGGGCCAGTGTGTGCAACGTCGATCGTGGCTCCTCCCCAATTGCCATGCGAAGCAATCAAGTCAGGGGCGCCACCGCGTTCCAGGGAGCGAATGGCAGCTAATTTTAAGCTGAGATCACGGTTGTGCCAGAGATGCTGCCGTAGTGTGAACGCGTTCCACATCAAACGCGTCAAACTTGTACTACCTGTTCGCACCGGTGAGCCGCTAGAACCGGAGGTGAACGTTGAAACCGTGGGGCCATGCAGCGCTTCGGGTGCGTTGCTGAACAACTGATCCCCGGCAGCTTGGATCTCGTCACGTGACAGCAGGGGGATTTTTCGCCAACTCGAAGGATCCTGGATTTTCGCTGGTGGAAGCCCGGCGTTGTCCAAACGCTGGCGGTAAAATGGGACGTGTCGATAAGCAAACAGAATGACCTCAGTGAGCTGGCTGACCTGTTGCTCAAGGATTGTTTCCGGGGCGAACCACTGCGACCGCTCCAATTGAAATTGGAGTGCCAGAAGTTGACACCCCCTCGGAGTTGGAAGAGCGGGCCATCGCATACCGGGAACGACCGACTTGAATTCGATCGGAGAGTATTTTTTCGAATGGGACATGGAGCTTGGCGTCAGGGAAGAAGTGTCGTTGCGAGATGGCATTCTAGAAATATTCTCAGGAGTCACACTCCGACGCGGGAGATAGTAACGCCGCATCGTCCAGTCTGTAGGTGACAATTCTGTACGACTGGTCCCAAGAGTATGAATCAGTGCTTCGATCCGCTCGAGACAAGTCTCGATCATGCGCTCTTAATATCGATACCGAGTGAAGGCTCGTGCGTCCATTGAAAAACACGATACCGCTTGGACTCACAGTTGACTTACGTCCCCTGCTCGCGACAGTCATTGGGATTCGCGTCACTCACTCCCTGAACAAAGTGGCAAGCTTGCGCGAATCCAATCACAAAGAACCATTCTTCATGGAAGTGGGGCACCGGGAAACGTGGCCTGTGGGCTTTCTGACGCTCGAAGCGGTTGGTTGATATTGGATAGAGCTGCGGAACTCCATAAGCCACCTGTCGACTGCGGATAAGATGGCAGGCCATTGCCATGCACAATCGAAACGCGAGACCACACATAAGGAGCCGTAAATGTGAGAAAATTACAAAAAAAATCTTGCAAGCAGTAGATTCGCCGAGATAATCCACTCGTCGGTTGCGGGTTGGATGTGCCTTATCTTACTCTTCGGCATGTCGCGATACTCAGGGGCTATATCGCAACCGTCTCAGAGGTAACGGAGCGGACTCACATTCTCACAGAAGTGAGTAGTTTTCTGGCATTCCACTGCACCCCTCGGAGTCGGTTATGTCTCTTTTTCCGCGGCTCTCTAAGCGCAATCAGATTCGGCGTACCAAGCGCAGCATCGCAATTGAACCCCTTGAGCAGCGGCAGCTACTGGCAGTAACCGCAAGCTACGAAGATGGAATTCTGCAACTCGACGCCGATGTGGGCGAAGAGATTGTTCTCTCGGTTGCCGATGGATTGCTCAAGATTAATGGCCGTAATCCCGACGGCGGACCGGTACAAGCCACCGACATTCGAGAAGTTGAAGTTGCTCGAGAGTCCGAAGCCAAGTCCGTCAACCTTGAGGTGCTATCCGAAGAGAGTTTTACCTCCCTGGAGTCCCTGGTGACGCATACCGCGGCGGGAACGCCAGTTGACCTGCGTCAAGTGAGCCAATATGCGGAGGCGATTATCGGTGCTGACTGGCGTCTCGATACCGGTTACTCACTAACCGATGTCGATCAATCTCTTCGTGCAGGAACCTGGTGGGAAGAAGCCAAGGCACACCCACTCTTCAAAGAATTCACGGACCTAGGTCCAGAAAAACTTCAGGCGCTAGTCGACGAATCTCTCTCTGGAACCGGCTTGCCCGCACTCGACGTTGGCAAGCTGCCTTGGTGGGAGATTGCTGACGATGTTGGAAGTCAGCGGTTTGCAGCGTCGACATCAGAGTCCTCCCATACACAACTGGGAGGTGGCGCAGCCGCGGCCAGTGCTTCGTCAGGTTGCATCAACACGTCGACTTATAGTTTTACCCCAGTCGATGGGACGGAAGGTGGCAGCGTTGGCTTTGAGGATTCTTACGTTGAGGTCTCGGAGAGTGATGGCTTCGCAGAATTGCGGGTCAAGGGAGCGGATGGTGAATACATTGATGGCTATAACGTTGAGTTAGAAACTGAAGACGGATCGGCTATCGAACCCATGGACTATTGCGGGGGAATGGAGACCCTCGGATGGGACGGCAATTCTGAAGGCCGAGGGTACAAAGTCTTCATTCCAATCACAGATGACAACATTTCTGAAGGGGACGAACAGTTTCAGGTCAATCTGAGTTTCGACGGAGATTTTCATCCCCCCGATGATCCCGATGGTAGCGAAGGTGAAGTGAGCCTCGGGAACTCCTCCGCGACCGTTCGCATCCTCGATGATGATGCCGCATTGCGGATCGATGACGTCACGAAGGCCGAGGGCTCAGGCATCTCGCCTTTCACGGTTTCGCTCTCGGAGCCGATCGATGGCGATCTTACCATCCAGTGGACCGTCAATAACACCGGAATTACAGACCCGCTGGCAACTCATCCAACTGATTATAACTTGATCAGCTCATCACCGATTGTGATCTACCAAGGTCAAACGTCGGCCGTAATTAATGTTGACTGGTTAGAGGATCTGGCGGTTGAGCCCGATGAGTATTTCCAAATTCAATTGATCAGTGCGTCCAACTCGGGCACCGATGGGGTTTCCATCGCCAAGGAGTTCGGACTCGGAACGATCCGAGACAATGACACGCAGCCGGAAGTCAGCATTCAAGATGCGAGCGATGTGCTTGAGGGGGATCCGGGAGACGATCCTCGCTCGCTGGCGTTCCCGGTGAGCTTGTCGCAACCCTATCAGCAGGACATCACCGTTTTCTATACGGTGAACAGCCAAGTCAGCTACATTGCCGATCCTCAAGATCCCGAAGACTGGTATCCCAACTCCTCCGACTTCACCGGCGGCTCGGGATTTATCGTCATTCCTGCCAATGAGACAAGCGCCGATATCGAATTGGGGGTGGTGCTCGACACTTTGGTCGAGTTCGACACCTATGT